TTCATAAATAAACACTTCTTTTTTTACAAAACGCTGATCTTTAAATGTAAATACCAACTCGTTATGAAAGTGTAAAACAATTAAATATAAATATATCATGAAGTTGTAGACTAAGTGAGCAGTTCCGGGAAATTAAGAAATACGAAAAAAAAACGTAAAGAAACTACCAATGGTGATAATTTAATGTTTACCAACTCGAATGGTAAAATTCTCACAGAGGTAAAGCATCAACTAAATAGATAAAATATTTCAAATACAAAGCATAAAGTAGTACTTCTACAACAATTTAGTATTTGAACACTATATCAGAATAGGTTGCAGAATGTGCTAAAAAGAATGGAACCCAACAGATGTGTATCAACACCTAAATAAAGAAAGCCATAAACAACAAAGCACTAGGGCCAGAGAATATAAAAATGGAGCTGCTGAAATACGAAGTCGTAAGGATCATATTCTTTATACGAGAGTTCAATAGCAGGTGAAAAGATTCCAGATGTGGAATCTATTACACATGTCAATTTTCAAAAACAATGACAAAAATCACCAGATAACTATAGAGGAACCAGTGTAATACCTTCAACAGCAAGAATCTTTTCCAAAGTTATACAAAAAAAATAAAACAATACATGGACCATTATAGCAAAGAACAAGCCGGATTCCGAAAAACCAGACTATATCTAGATATTTTAACGAATGTCTTTGCAGAGGAGAAGCCCCAGATGATTGTAATGAAAGTTTGACAATACTTCTCTTCAAAAAAGGAAACAGGGGAGATATGAAGAACTATAGGCCAATCTCCCTGCTGTCCAGGGAGATTGGCCTGTACCCCTGTACAGTACATCGTACAGTCAGAATGCTAATAGAGAAGAGAAAGCCAATGTATATCACTTAAACTTATACATTGTCTTCGTTGATTATGAAAAGGCATGCGACTCCATGGAACCTGAAAGAACAAAGAAAGGCATGGATAATAAGGCAGCTTTACATCTAGGCTATGCAAGTCTCATGCTATGCAAGTCCGTCTTGCATGGCGCATCTCTTGCCTAGCTTGACCCGCTTGACCTTTTTACATCAGAGATATTTCTGTGAAATTTTAGATCCCACTTTCATTGTTGCCAACAGAGAAAATATTTATCAATTTGAGGTTATTTTATTTTAAATAAATATAATTAAGTACTAAAATAAATAATATAATAAATAAATATACACTATTTATGGTTATTAAAAGGGTAAAGGATGTCAACCAAAGAAAAGAAAACATTGTTATTGTTGAATATTGCTGTTGTAGTAACAATCATGAAAAATAATAAAAAAGAAAACCTAGAAAATGCTGGGTCAAACCTTGGTTGAATGCAGGACTGGGAAATTTGAAGTTACCCCAAGAGTTCTTGGATGCTAGAGACCTTCAAAGTTTCAAAAATTTTCTTCGAATGAACGAGTCCACTTTCCTTAAGCTCCTTAATAGAGATAAGGTTTGTTTTATTCTGTAATCTATTATAAATTGTTATATTGGCAACATGAATTTTAACGATAAATTGCAAGAAAATAGCATGAAAAATAGAACATGTTCTAATTTTTCGTCTAGCACAGGAATTGCATGGAAATAGCCCGTGGGCTTGCGCAGTTCCATGATCTGTCTTGCATGGCTCTTGCCTAGCATAAAAATAGCATAATGTAAAACTGTCTATAGAGAGAGCTGTAAACAACTGCAGGATAGACTCCTGATACAGAATGTTCATACATAATATTTACAAGAAAGCTACAATGAAAATACAAATAGATGCGAAAACCAAAGCTATACCAATCAACACAGGAGTTTGCCAGGTAGATGCTATCTCACCAAAGCTTTTTATACTTGGACTGGAAGACGTGTTAAAAGACATTAACTGGGCAGATGAAGGAGTAAATGTTAATAGAAGAACACTGAGTAATTTGAGATACGCTGATGACATTGTAATATTCAGTACAAGTTTGGGTACAAGACACTTATGTGATCAGATTGAATCACAGAATATTACGAAGCTTATCGGTGCAGAGAGTCATAAATGTCTTGAACAAAAATTGAGAAGAAAGTTGTAATGACTATTAGAAAGGAGGAACTACTTGTTCTGTCTGTCACAAATCACGAGAAAAGAAAAATATCAATTACTTTAAATTATATTGCTAGTAGAACCTCTACCAGTATTCAACACGAAAGATATAAATAAAATAACACAAAAATTAACGAATGACATAACATCAACTGCAAAAAATATCTGTAATAAAAATAAAAATCCCAGAAAAACGAAACTGAAACAAACAACACTTAATTTAATGGAAGAAAGAAGAAGAACATCAAACAATAAAGTTAAAAAGAGCATAAGGTCAGACTTGCGGGCTTATAAAACAAATATTGCAAACCATCGAAAACAATAGAAACATGAGAGTATTGAAATCAAATTTAACTAAAGGAAAATCAAAGATAACTACAATCAAAAATCAACAGGGGAATACGGTGACCGAAAAAACTCAAATAATCAAGGAAATACAAACGTTCTATAAGAATCTTTATACATCTACTATACAGAACCCCGAAACAGACCACAGAACAATTTTAAACGTCGGCTCGGAAACCCTCCCTAAAATAACCTCTTCGGAAATTAGACATGCCTTACAGCAAATGAAAAACAAAAAAGCTCCTGGCGAGGATCGTATAACGTCTGAAATGTTAAAAATGGGCGGCAACATCGTTGTAGAAGTTGTGGAAGTCTTACTGAATAAGTGTCTAACAGAAAAAAGAATACCCAGCCTATGGGAAAACGCCGAAATAATACTTTTACACAAGAAAGGAGACACTACTAATATTGAAAACTACAGACCTATAAGTTTGTTGTCACACTTATACAAATTGTTAACAAGAATAATAACTAACCGCATAACACAAAAACTTGATTTATATCAACCGGTTGAACAGGCGGGATTTAGACAGCAAACCATCAGAACACTAGTAGAAAAAACCACAGAATATAATGTACCTTTACATATGGCATTTATCGACTTTCACAAGGCTTTCGATAGTATTGAGACTTGGTCCTTTTTGTCAGCCCTGAAGGATGCTCGAATAGACTCACGGTACACTACACTCATTAAAAACATTTATGAACAGGCCACATTCCACATCAAAATCAATGAAGACAAAAAAACTGAAAAAATGCGCCTTGATAAAGGTATTAGACAAGGTGATACTATTTCACCAAAGCTTTTTACCTTAGCATTGGAAAATGTATTCAAAGAGCTTGACTGGGAGGAAAAAGGTCTAAACATTGATGGTGTACGTTTGAGTCATTTGAGGTTTGCGGATGACATAGTATTATTTAGTACAGATATCAAGGAACTGGAGCAAATGTTGAAGGAATTAAACCAGCAGTCAAATAAAATAGGTCTCAAAATGAACCTTCAGAAAACAAAAATAATGAGTAATTTACAAACTAATCTTATTATTGACAACGTCAGTCTTGAAAATGTAGACCACTATATACATCTTGGACATACCATTAAAATCGGCAAAGAAAATCAAATAGCCGAAATAAAAAGACGCATACAACTGTCTTGGGAAGCTTTCGGCAAATTAAGCTTTATTTTGAAGAATAAAGATATACCAATGTGTCTAAAACGTAGAGTTTATGACAAATGTATCTTGCCTGTAACTACATATGGACTGGAGACCATGGCCTTCACAAAGAAAACCTTAGAGCAGCTCAGTACAACCCAAAGAGCAATGGAGAGGGCCATGCTAGGAATTAGTTTGAGAGACAGGATTCGAAATAACGTCATTCGTGAAAGAACAAAAATTACTGATGTCTCACAACGTATTGCAAGGCTCAAGTGGCAATGGGTCGGACACGTTGCCCAAGATAATCCCGAAAAATGGACACAAATATTAACAAACTGGAGACCAAGAGAGAACAGGCGAGGAGTAGGCAGACCGCAGAAGAGGAGGACAGACGATATCAAACAAGTTGCGGGCAAGCAGTGGATGAGAATTGCCAAAAGTAGAAATCGATGGAAGCAAATGGAAGAGGCCTATGTCCAGCAGTGGACGAACACAGGCTGAAGAAGAAGAAGAAGAAGATATTGCTAGTAAAGATAAGTACTACTAAGATAAAATTTACGCCAATGGTTCAACGACAGAATATGCAGATGACACGGTGCTTATTGCTTAAAATGAAGAAAACCTGTAAATACTTATAAACAGGGTAACCTAAGCATAATAATAACAAAAACAATAAAAATTCGAAAGTTACAATATTTCGGTCACGTAATGAAACATCCAGAGAGGTATAACCTTCTACATCCCATAAAACAGGGTAAGATTGCTGGAAGGAAAGGCCCAAGCCGAAGAAGAACATCCTGGCTCTGAAATCTCCGAGAATGGTATTAAGAGACCACCACTAATTTATTTAGAGCCGCCGTAAACAAATTTATTATTGCCAATATGATCGCAAGAGTTCAAATCGGACAAGGTACTGAAGAATATAATGGTTCAACATCACCAATAAACATCTGTTTAAAGCAGTAATCTTGTAAATACACATACCTTTGACGATTGGGAATCTTGGAGCGAAGAAGTTACTTAAAGAAAAAGATGTACAAAAGCCTGTGATAAAGTACTTAATGTAGTAGCCTAGCGTTAACAACTGAGAAGGAGGATCTTGGAAGATAAGGAAGTACTCAATAATAAATGAATAAACCAAAAAAAAAGATATTATTGCCTCCCTTAAAAAGAAAGACATTCAAAATTATAGTACAAAAACTGCGAATTGCAAAAGTGACAAAATCTACGTATGAGACTAAAACATTTTATTAACAGTAGAATATTTGTTATTTCCTCATTTAAATTTTATTTCTATTTTATAAATTTCTACTGTTTGTACTTTGTTGTTGTACTAAACTCCGTTGTAAATATTAACTAAGTATATTTGCAAGCTATTATGCTAATTAAAATTTAAAAAAATACTTACGCGTAAATATATTTTTTTAATTAGTCCATTACGGTTTCACTAATAACTGATTAAAAACTATTTACCCCTTTATCTCGAACATTATTCTATCTAAAGAACGCGCTCGATTTGCACTGGCTCTGGTTTATATTTTAAATTGATTATACGCCGGCAACCGTTGGTCTTCAGCGCGCAAACAACAACTGACAACTGAGTGTTTTGTGAACGCCGGGCGGTGGTTCACCCATAGCACAGATTAGCCCATAGTTAGTGTTTGGTGAATGGCATTATGAAGTAATTCTCTGCGAGGTTTTTGTACTTCTTGCAGAAAGTGTAATGTGCGTGATATACGTACATTTTTGCGGGTATTTTCTATTGTCTGCAAGTATGTCAGTTTTAATCGACCAGTTAGTAGCCTATTGTTTGAAGTTGTTGTTTATTATTATAAAATTTACAAAATATAACCTAATTCAAATTGGAAGGTGTAGGCTAGTTAAAAAAATTAATTAAAAAGTAGAAATTTTATAGAATTTCTAATTTTTTTTTAACTTCAATTTAGTAATGAGAGAGAAGATATACTAATCAAATTCGGTCAACACTAAAATGTTGTTGTGATTAATATATTGATTAAAAATTACCTAAGACATTATACAGTGTTATAAAAAAGGTGTTTTAAAAAAGTGTGTTATTAAAAATGCTTTTTTTGAATGCATAAACTCATATGCATATACATATTCAAGAAGCTGACTGAATATGAAAGAAATGAAGATAGCCAAACACATACTAATGAAAAGAATAACGTCAGCTTTCAGAACAAATAAAAATTAAATATATTAATAACAACAAGAGCCAAATGAAAAAGCCCTTACACAGTGGTGTATACAAACTTACAAGTAGCGACTGCCCAAAAACTGACGTCGGTCAAACGGGTAGAACCTTTAACAAACGGATAGCAGAACAAACGAGCTTTCAATAATCGAGAAACAGCTTCTACATACGCATATCACCTTCTATATCATAATCATTCTTTTAATTACTATTTTCAAATTCTTCACATTCAAAATATGTAAAGGCATTTACCCTAGAATACTAACCTTTCTTTTATTTACACTAACCATCGTAGTATTTACTAAGCTGAGAAAAAAAAATGTGGTAACTGAAAAAGTATTTTATCTTAATTCTACATATTATTTTAAACTGTTTCTAAAACCTAAAAATCACAAAAAATCATAAATTCTACATTTTAGAACTACACTGCTGACAACAAAGAGTGCGACGTTCACCATAAAATGGACGTCGGCAGTGCTCGCAATTATGACGTTTTTTAGACGGACAAAATTGACACATGGCACGTTTTGACACAATAGGGCATATTCATTTTTGCTGTGGCTCCAAATTTAGATGGACGCTTGACGTTATTAAACGCCTTGCTGTAATCAATGAAACAAGCAAATACATCTTGATTCACATCCAAACACCTCTGTCAAGATGTTAAAGGCAAATAGGAATCCAAATTGGGAATCCAAACTGAGTTTCTCCGATATCTTCTTCCAGTTTTCTATAAATTCCAATTTTTATAAACTTTCTATAAATAAAAATAAATGTGAATTATTTTGAGGAATATTTTTAAGATATGGCTCATCAGACTGAGTGGTTCAAAGTTGGCCAATTTACACGATGCTGTAGCCAAGGTTTCGTCAGTTGTTGAGAAAAATGACCATAAATTTTTTTCTGGTGATAGTTTTTTTCTACTGTAGTTGTTGGTTATGATTATAAATTATTCAAGAGCTTATGCAGGCTATATTGATCATGCCATATAATAGGTAAAGAGACCATCTTCTTGTTTTTCTGAAGTTGTTTATGTTTCCACACATTTGCACAAATGTGTCTACTCCGTACTTGGTTGCATTATAAAATTTAATGATATCTGACATTCCAGTTGGATAACATTCTACTGGACCACTGTGGATTGTCGACAGAAGAAGCACATATTTATTTTCTTTTGTCTTATAGGATATCATTGTTATTTCACCATTGAAGCAAAATAAGGAATTATCAATTTTACGATTTGTGAGATTTATTTCTCTTTATTTTTTATTTATTTTCTCTTTTATAATACCTTAAGTAAACCAATTGAACAAATACAATGAACCATACCAATCAATAGCATACAATGAACCCGAGATCATAACATCCATAAAGATCGGACCTCTGCGCTGGATGGGTCATGTTGAACAAATGTTGGAGACTGAAACACCAACACATATAATGAGGCAAACACTAGTAGGGAGAAGGTCAAAGGAAACACCCAAACTTAGATACATGGAATAAGTGGAACAAAATATGAAAACACTTAAGATTACCAACTGGAAAAACAAAGCAAGAAACACAACAGAATGGAGGAAAATCCTAGAACAAGCCAGGACCCAGAAATGGTTCTCGAGCTACTGATGATGATGATGTAAACCAACTATCCATGGTTATATTATGGTAACTTCCATACACACCCTGAGTTAATTGTTTTACATAATATTCTCCTAGAGACAGTCCATTGGTTTTAGTTCCCTTTCCTAAATACAATTCTGCATCGAACATATATTTGGTACCGACGTCACACAGCATTATTATTAATTTCAGTCCATATTTGGCTGGCTTGTTTGCGATATACATCCGGAAAGGACAAGGACATCTTTTTCTAAAAGCCAGTAGCTGCTCATGGATTGTTAGGTATGATCCAGGCTTATAGGATGTTTTGCAATTCTGTATAAGATTATCCCATATTTCACAAATTGCTTCAAATTTTTCTGTCTGGTCTAGACATTTTATTCTCAAAACGTTTTATAAGAAATTCAAATTTTTTCTGGCCCATAGTTACTTTATATATCGCACCAGTAATCAATTCGTTCCTCGTACTCTCGGCGATAGTTACCGAGGAATTTTAAAACGTCCTCTCGTCGCCGAGTCTACGCCAAACGCGTACCTGCTAAACCAGACCCTCCTCTATCATCCAGGGATCCGGAAGCGGAATGGTTGCTGTAAGGAACATTACTTCCGAAGCACTACCTTCGTTCATCCACAGACTGTCAGGAAGACTGTCTCATTCCAGGTAGCTCGTGGAAGACCCTCATCGCTCCTAGTACGGCATCACTCCCAGACGGTCATTTCCTCCTTCCCCACAGTCTGACTCACGCAGTCTGAATCATATAGTCACTTGTATTGTTGTATAGTTGTGTACTCTAGTCCAACCTGCTTTATTTTCAATCATTATCTCAATCATTCTCTCAATCATTTCTGTCACTGACTAAAACACCCGTGTCCTGTGAGCACCTGCGTAAGGAAATAATCCAGTCCTCCGTGGCGACTAATCTTTAAGGAGACCTAAGAAGGTCGAAATACTTATAAGCGGATGGAAGTCACACTGCATTGAATTTAAATCTCAAACGCCTTACTGCAAAATTGAAAAATGTTTACATGTTGTATCAGGACTAACCTCGTCGCATAAATGGACACTACCAAATGTTTACAGTGCATCTGTCCTATAAAGCTATTTCGTGGTGCTACATCCGTGATATTCGCCTCAGCACTTTACTATAGAGAAAAAGTAATACAGCGCTTGTTCAGAAGCTTTGTCTAAATAATATTTTTATCTTATAATAATTTCTGCTTCTAGTGAAAATATCAACTCTTGAATCTACCTTTTTTTGTATCTAACTCTTGAGACAGTTTGAGTAAAAACTAATACCATATTCGGCATATTAACCCATATAAAAAAATCGGAACTTCCAATTTTCCAACATTAATTGACTAGGAAATCCTGCCGGATACGTTGCAAAAACTTATTTTATCAATGGTAAGAATAGAAACCTCATTTCCGACTACAAAAACCTGGCTCCTAGTATAACAGTTTTTTTTTAATTAACGTTTTGTTTATTCTAAGAACACATTTTTTATTTATGATAAGACTTTAATACAGTCGTATAATATACGAATCAAAATAAACAATTTGTGATAACAGTATTTTACTAATTTGCACTCGATATCAACTATTTCAAAAATATATTATGGGGAAATTAATATAATATCTGTAAATAAAATAAAATATGGCTATGCATATTATATATAATAATGTTGTTGATGCAACTACTGGACTGGGATATGATTCTAGTATAATCGTTTATAGTTACTTTTAGACCAAAACATGTTAATAGATTTTGAATATCAAAAAAAGGGTCAGATTTAGTTTTAAAATTTATATTAAAATCACCAAGTATGATAAGTTTGTCTGCTTTACCAAGCAAGCACTTTATGACATTCTCAAAATTCACTAAAAACAAGTCAAAGTCACCCTTACCTGAACTGTATACAGTTAAATATGGGTTTTTATTGAAGGTACAAAAATTGCACAAAACTCAGAAATTTGCTCTACATTATATTCATTTAGATTAAGAAAATAATACATAAGATTTTCTTTTCTTCTTTTTTAGTATTCTTCTATTATTTTCTCTAGCAAATAAAGTGTGAGCGATGAAAAAATTCAAGTTTATTTTCGGCTTTCTAATAATATTGTATACCGGGTGGTGAATCGCCAAACGGGCCATAGGAAATTCAATGCGAAATTCTAAATTATTGAATTCCTACTTCCCTAATTATTTTACATCAAAAATCATAAGAAACTATTTGTAGAGGACTGAAATATGTATTAAAAACAAATGTTAAAATTGTTCAACGAATTAAATGTATTCCAAAATTTTGTAAAAATATAATACATTTTTCAGGCCACCCCTTAAAGTCAGGCTACACACGAGGTACAAGAATGTGTATGACATGTTGCAATTGTTCGTATTGATGATTCTAATATTTGACAATATTTGAATTGTCAATATTTTATTTTGTGATTAAATTATACACAAATACTAAAAATATTAAACTGGTCTACAATGGTCCGAGAACTTATTCTAGGATTTTCTACAACTGCTGTTAACACATTTATTTCATTTTGTTTTTCTAAATTTTTTGGTACCTCAGCAATATTGTTTGTACAGATTAGAAATCACGGTCGTATTATTTTCAAAATTTTGTAAAATCTTTTGAATTGTTGAATGACTTTAAATTGGTCTATTGGAATATCTTACGCTT